AATACTATTAGTTGAAGTCCTAGAGAGCTGCACTTTGGCATGTAAAGGGGGGCGTGGCAGTTTGGAAAACAGATCTGACAGAATTTAGGCCGTGAATGAGTATTCTGCAGTCAGTAATGCCCAACTGCAACTGTATAGCTTGGTTCTAACTCATTTATACGTTATTTGAATCGAATTTTTTGTCTTTTTTTTAAGTTATAAAACAAGTAAAAAATATTTATTAAAATATTTAATGAATAGGAATTATATTTGAAAATATTTGCATCTAGCTTTGAGTTTCTAATGCCATTTCAAGGATACAATAGACAGTTTATAAGGTATCGGAATCTATTTTTCTGGCAAGGATTTGCATTAGCTATCATAAAAGCATTTTAACTTATATAATAAATAATGTAAAGGTTTACCCTAGTAATTAGAGAGATTCTGCCAGAAAAATTCTTCATTTTCGCCACTGTGCGGTGATTGGGGGCTAGCGGCAGACGGCAGACGGAAGGCGGTGTATTTGGGCCTATTTCGAGTTATAGTAACAGTTTTTGTATTAGCTGTATAATTAGCTAACCAAATCAAGTTGTTTTTAATGGCTAACAGCAGCTGCTAGAGAAAGAAAAAGGGGGAGAGAGAGAGAGAGGGAGAGAGAGAGGGAAAGAGAGAGCTCTCAGCCTGAATTGTGTTAGGACTGAAATATTAGATCAATTGGTATGGAAATGGATATTATATCAAGTGCTTAACGGGGAGAGGGAGTGAGAGGAGGGCAGACAGACAGAGACTCACAATATGGCATAGGTAATCAAATTTATTGCGATTATTACATATTCTGCATGATAATGCAGTGCCACTTGGCACTTGCCACATGCCACATGCCACATGCCGCAGGCATTTGCCACGGGGGCCACTGCCACTGTCAGTGTCAAGTGGTATGTGTGTGTTTGTGTGTGTGGCATGCATAATTTATGGCAAACAGCCTTTAGCTGCGGGGCCACTGCCTGCAGTCATGCAACTTGGCCACGCCTCCCCCGCCTCCCCCGCCTCTGTGGCTAGCAAACAAATGCACAGCAGATGCGTCAATTTTGTGACAGGCAAGCTCAAGCCGAGGCCGAGGCCGAGACCGAGACCGAGACCCAGAGCGAGACCAAGCCCTGGAGCCCGGGCGCACTGTTGTGCCGGGGCGTGGCACTTAATTGAGCAATTAATTGCAATTAGCCATTAAAGTTGTTGTTGATGCCAGCCACAGCAGCAGCAGCAGCAGCAGCAGCAGCGCCTAGATTTGCAGGGAACTCAACTCAGCTCAACTCCCGCTGCTGCTGCCTGCCACTAGCTGCTCTGCCACATGCAACCGTTAATGGGCGACACTTTAGTGCCTACAAAGCTTCGATTATGGCCAAGAGCAAATGGCGACAAGGCCGCACGTAGTCCGCTAATGGCATTCATTAATATGACCACGACAAAGAGATGCTGCTCCTGCTGCTGCCCCTGCTCCTACTCCTGCTGCTGCTGCTGCTGCTGTTAGCCAAATGGCAATCCACACTTGCCACGGATAATCAGACATGTGGCCAACTGAGGCGAGACTCTAAACACTTCAAAGCGTCGCCTACGTGATCTGATTTGCTCGCTTTATGGCCACCAAATACGAAATTCAACGAATTCATAGTTAAGCATGTCTGTGTGTGTGTGTGTGTGTACGTGTGTCAAGGCCAGAGAGAGCAAAGAATTGCGTATACGCATAACTGAATATTTTAGTATTTATTATAGTCCATACAAACAACATTAATGTTGAGCTCTTCTATGGATGACAGTTTAGGGGCGTGGTCACTCGAAAAATACCCTGTAATTTTTCACAGGTTAAGAGTAGGCTACGCTTACGTAACTCTCGATACCTTCTGAAAATTAAAAACAAAATACATGTATATATGCCCGCTGGAGGCGTGGCACATCGAATCTGGCTATAGTCTGGATTTGCAGATGCAAATCGCAGTCTTGAATAGCTGATGCAATAAACTTTAAAGAGCAAAACTATTGAAGAATCAGAGACTTCGATTTGGACCTGCATATAACGTGGGAGTTACGACAGGTGGCTAAGCAATGCTGGAGTAGAACTCGGTGGGGTGCCATCTCAATAGATGAAAGTGAGTTTTAGGGCAAAAGAAATGTTTACTTGCAAAGAGAACGTTCCCAGTTGATAAGAAATCTAAATAGAAGATCAGTCCAACGCAGATAAGCTCAAACACAAACACTATCGCTGCCAAAGCTCTCTCGCATTTGGTTCATTCTGTGGCTGAATTCGTTCTGGGAATGCTAATTGAAATGCCGAATCGATTACGAAACTAATACAGTTTGCAAACTACTGCAGCAGAAATTATAAATGCGTTGCCCCTGGGCGTCAGTCTATATGGCAGCAGCCATTAAAAGTCTATCAATATTTGCAGAGCAAATAAATTTATGTAGATTCACACACACACACACACACACACACACACACGCAGACAGGCACACACATACACATGCGCGTACTTGAAAACTTTTAGCCTATGATTGCTGCTTGCTGACAGCAGGAGTTGAGGTGAGTTGAGAGAGTAGAAAAGGAGATGAGATGAAGTGTGGTGAGGTGGAGTGGGCAGGAGTGGGCTGGAGTGGGCTGGAGTGGGCTGGAGTGGGCTGGAGTGGGCTGGAGTGGAGTGTGGTGAGCTGAGCTAAGCTGGGCTGAGTGACAAATAGTTATGAAGTCTGTGCATGTGTGTGTGTGTGTGTGTGTGTGTGTGTGTGTGTGTGTGTGTGTGTGTGTGCTGTTTGTTGGTATTGGTAAGTGCGAACAGTTCTGAAGGCAGTTCAATGCCGTTCAGCCGCACCGCCGGCCCGCCCCCCTCGGACAGCAGCTTCACGTGCTCCAGCTTGATGCAAAGTTTTTGGCACATCAATAAACTAAACTTGAATGGAGTTTGGGGCGCGCCGACAGCTGGAAATGTGCCTTAAGCATGCCATGAATTATTTAGTTTCTGTTTACCTTCCACTCCATGGCCGTCGGCCGCTTTCATTTTATTTCGTTTTGTTGCCAGCCAGTTGCAACTTTTGGCCAATTGCGAGCACGTGCCGCACTGGCCGCACTAGCCGCACTGGCCACACTGGTCGCCGCCTTCTTGATTGTCCTTTAATATGCACCGCAAGGCGCCGCAGTTTGCGCCGTTTGCACTCTGCTTCCTTAAGTAATTGTCCTAATTGACCCGACGGACTGCCTCCTGGCTGCCAGCTAGGCCGCCTCTGGATGCACCAAATTACCAGTCAAAGCTATCAAATTAACTATCCAATTTCCACAAAGTTTCGCCAAGCCGTCCGCCAATCACAATCGAAATCACATTAAGAAATTCGAGTCGCAGTCGAAATTTCATTAGGATATTTCGAAGGACGAAAACAGCTGTTAAAGCTGCTTCAACATGCACTCGAGTGCAAGAGAATCGCATAGAGAGCCGTAATGGTATTAGTGCTAATATATGTGTGAGAATCGCATAGAAGAGCGCAAAAAAAAACTTTAAGCAACTATTAATATTTGTAGATCTCATTGGAGTGCAAGACCATCACATGGGAAGGTGAACTAGCTAATTTTGTATTAATATTGATATATCTATATATGTCTCTATTGTGTAAATGAGAATCACAGAGAAAGGTTCTAAAGTTACATATGTGGAAAAGATATTTTATTATTAACAAATGGAAAGCGTAATAGTTATATGTGTCATTAAAGACCTCACTTGCATGAGAATCGCAGAGAAAGATGATATAGTTATATATGTATATGGGGTTCTTTAAGCTTTTTATACTATAGTATTTATGCAGGAGAATCGAGGAGAGATATTGATCTTAAAGTTCTTTATAATATTTATAGTTCAAACTTAAGTGGTAGAGAATCGCATAGAAAGGCGATGCAGTTATATATTTACTTGGAAAATTTTAAGATTATTAAGATTATTATTAAAAACACTTGACAGTCCAAAATAATCGATAGCTAAGGGCTTATTGAGCGAATTCATAATTTTGAAAGCTTTAAAATCAAAAACCCATTTCTAATTTGGCACCTGTGGCTGGGCGCACCTAAGCCTAGGCCAATTTAAGGGCTTACACGCTGTTTGGCTTCTAACAACTACACATCCTGCTGCCGCATGCCTCCCCCTGAGGGCTAATTTAGATGCCGGCTTAGAGTCAATTGTGGGGGTTGTGGTGTGACACCAGAGAGGGGAGAAGGGAGCGGAGTGAAATACTAAGCTCATTGGCTTCAGCTCAAGGTCCGATCTATGAATATTTTTCAATAGCAGCGCAGACCCACCAACAATTACAAATGTCAGAAGCCGTTGCAAAATAAGAAAAAATAATAAATAAATAAATAGAGAGAATCCCCTTGCCAGGGCGTGCCACGATGCCCTTTATAAGCTGCAGGAGCAACATCAGCTGGGGTGAGCGGCCACAAAACGCAGAATCAGTAGCCAGGTGCTATTGCTGCTCCTGCTGCTGCTGCTACTCCTGCTGCTGCTGCTGCTGTGGCTGGGACTGCGGCTTTGGCTGTGGCATAAGCTGTTGGGGCTAAAGCTGTTGCCAACGTCAAGCCAAACCAAAGCCACTTATTGGTTGAACAAATTTAATTGGCAGCAGCAACAAGCAGGGCCAGCATCGAGGGGCGCACGCTAGGGCTGAGCGCCGTGCGCCCTCGCCCTCGCCCTCGGGGAGCTCGAGGAGCTGGTGGAGCTGGGGGCTGTGACAGCTACAATGCCAACGATACGTTAATGCAGGCTAAACTGCCGCCACGGTTGGCTGGCCCTAAGCCCGGCAGAAAGTCATTGCCAGAGTTTCATAAAATTCAATTGAGCTGCAAGTCGAAGTTGAAACATTTTTCTTTTCTCTTTCGCTCGTTATTATTTTTCACTCTCTCCTTTTAATGCTCCAATGACCTTAGCTGACAGCTCACCTGGCCACACACACATTTAAGAACTTCTCGATTTCATCTCCTCTGCTTGCAGCCTGCTCAGCTGGACCGCACGAGAAGCGCCTCCTGCACGCTCTGCTGGACAACTACAACAGCTTGGAGCGACCCGTGGTCAACGAATCCGATCCACTGCAATTGAGTTTCGGTCTAACACTTATGCAAATCATCGATGTGGTGAGTACACACTAGAATAGTTTCACTCCCTCTCTGTGCCGTGTTGTTGCAACTTGCAAGTGCACGGAAAATCCAGACGGAGTCAACAATCGAAGCGTTATTTGAATGCTGTGTGATTTCAATATATATATAAAAATATTATTATTATTCTTCTTATTGTCTCTTATTCTAACTGAAGTAACATTGAACAATGTTTGCAAGTACTCCCAACTCTCGAAATCTCTTGCTTTAGCTAAATCAATCGCCGCTCTATGTGATTCTCATATTATATATGAATGTTGAATTGAATTTTTTGAATATTGATTTAGCGTGGCATACATATATTGGCAACAGTTTCCCTATTTCTCCCTTACTTGCCTCTTCCTCTTCACTTAATCTCCAATGCCGCTCTATGTGCTTCTCATATGGTGTTTAAAGCGTAACTGCCTAATTGTACTTGATCAATGATTATTTCTTTTGGCTTAAACTATGTTTCATATATATTATAGTATATTCTAGCTAATACAAACTGCCGTTCTATGCAATTCTCACATTTTATATACATGTATACAATTATTATATAATAACTCAAATGAAAACTTTCAATTTTCGATAGACTTTCGTTATTTTTTTTACCCAACCAATTTGCATAATACATTCAGAAACTTTTCTACTGCCGTTCTATGTGATTTTCATATAGCATAAAGAGCATAAGAAACTCAAATGTCAAATTTAAATTGCGTTCTACCTACCAGTCAGCTTATCGCCTACAGAATATTTGCTAGCTACCGCTCTATGCAATTCTCATATAGTATTTCTTGCCACCTAAGCGAGTATAGGGTATTTTCTAGCTGATCAAGCTAAGCGACCAAGCTGAACCGAACTCGAATTTATTTTGCTGCGCGTCGATTTTTGGCTTGGCTAAAAGCTGAGCTCAGCTGACAGTCGGCAAACATTTGGTAAAATGATGGCACGACACCAATATCTGGACTGACATAGTGCCCCAGTACAAGCTACTCTCTCCCTCTCTCTATCTCTCTCCCTCCCTCTCTGTGTGTGTGTGTGTGTGTGTGTGTGTGTGTGTGTGTATTTATGTGCTTTCTGCACAGGCTTTGCCGATAAACGACATTATGCGCCAGAGATGCCAAACAACTAGCAAAGAGCCCGAAAACTCCAGCGACGCGTGCAAGACAACGGCACAAAATTATGCCATGAGTGCACATTATGGCCATTAGCCAGAAGTGCCAACTTGCCACCGTTGCTGGATTATTGTGGCAGCATCAGCAGAACGGAGCCCAAGTGCCGCCACTTGCCGCAAGTCGCAAAATTCGACAATTTACTCACCATGCTCGAGTTAAGAGTTGAGCCTGAAAGTATCGCCCATCTACCTGGCTCCCTAGAGCCAGGACCACAGCAGCAAATCGCCCGACTTCCAATGTTGCCGGAACAATTCACAAATGGAGCATACGAGATGCTTTCACATCAGTTAATGGCAAACGGATTTGAGCTAAAACTGCTCTCAGATCTTTAATTATAGGTTGATGGCAGGCTCAGATGCTTGTAGGCAGGTATTGTCCTAGTTGGATTCTAATTGGAATTGCATAAAGTGGAGAAGCAATGACTGACTCAGCAAGAGTCATATAATTATTGATGATCATTACTTGGGTAATAATTATGTTATTCATAATATTTAAATGCTGGAATTTTGAATAAGAATAAGAATAATAACAAATATTAATTTAAACATTTAAGCTGTTTTCGAATGATTTGAATAACTTAACAATTACTTAAGTAATGAATAATATTTAAATGCCTAAACATTCTATTTAAATATTATTTATGCCATTTAATTTAATGGCATTTCATGTCTAATAATTGTTCAAAAATTTTATCAAAATTCCTATTAAATTTCCTTCAATTTTGCCAACTTTAAATTGAAAAATAAAAATCAATGGCAAAATATGGCAACAAAATTGATGGAAACATCAACGCGATGATAGGTTGAACTTTTAGATGCCGTTGGCCTCTGTTACACTCGATGGTCTCCTAGGCTATCTATATCTGTGTGTGTGTGTGTGCGTGTGTGTGTTTGGGTGTTGCACTCGTGTATTTGTGAAATGTTGCAAGTTTGTATAAGCTCACCAGCTGAATGCAAATAGTGACAAAGCGACCGTAATTGGATGAAACGGAAATGAGGTAGAAGGAAGCGAACGGACGGAATCTCTGCTGCTGGTGGTGCTGCTGCCCGCTGTGCATTTCACCTGATAAAGTGAGCTTCGAAGTGCGCTAATTAAAAGTGCCGTTACCCGCAAAAAACAGCTGCTCACGCCCGCTCACCTGGGCGCGCCCCTATTCGCCACAATTTACAAACGGTTTTTGATTACAAAGCAAGCGTTGAGTGTAGACTAAAAAAAAAAAAAGAAGAATGCAGGGAGATGCTGTTGCCGCTCCTTATAATCGTTCCCAGCTTTAGCTAGACAAAGGTGCACAGGCGAATGAGAAGAAGAAGCGACAGCAGGTGGAAAAAACATGGCAGACAGCTTAACAAAACCACAATACAGCAGCCGCACGAGCGATGATAACGGCTAACGAGTAACCAGAAGCCAGTGTGGAGAGTGGAGAGCAGGAAATGGAGAATGGAGAGTGGAGGTTGGAGAGTGGAGAGTTATTGGCGGTTAGTGGAGAATTTAAAACAGAAAGTGCCGAATGAAGAGTGGAGAGTTGGGAGTGGAGAGTGCAGTTTGGAGAGTGTAGAGCTGAGAGTTAAGAGTGGAGTTTGGAGACTGGCTAGTAGAGAGTGGCTGTTGGAGAGTAGTAAGTGAAGAATGTTGAGTGGATAGTGGAGAGTGGATATTGTGAAGTGAAGAGGAGAGTAGAGAGTGGAGAGTGGGTAGTTGATAGTGGGGAAGGGAGTGGAGAGTGGATAGTCGCTAGTAGAGAGTGGTAAGTGAAGGATGAAGAGTGGACTGTGAGGAATGGAAAATGGATAGTGGAGAATGTAGAGTGTAGAGCGGTTAGTGAAGAGTGGTAAGTGGTAAGAGGAGAGTGAAGAGTGCATAATGGATAATGCAAAATTGATAGTGGAGAGCAATTTGTTGAGAGTGGCAAGTGGAGAATGGAGAGTGGATAATGGAGAATAGAAACTGAATAGTGGAGACTGGAGGGTAAAGAACGGTTAGTGGAGAGTGTTTTGTGAAGTGTTTTGTGGAGTGTAATTAGTGGGAAGTGGAGAGTGTAGTATTCTTTATTCCTATTTCCATCTCTCACTCTCTCTCTCTCTCTCTCTCTCTCTCTCTCTCTGCCTTTCTCCCTCTCTCCAACAGTCTAGTAAAGAAAATGAGCTTCTCCTTGGGAGCAATGACGGTCAAGTGTGTCGTGGGAGGCCAGCGATTACACGCAATGTGAAGATAGCATTGTGTGCTTGGCCTTGGCCGGCTGCTAATTAAGCTGGAAGCCTGTGCCGAATCCCAGAGCCAGTTAATAACATTTCGCGGGCTGGAATTGAACGAACATAGGCGACGGCACTTGACAGTAATAGTAATGTGCTGTGCCTAGGGACAGGGCAACTGGCATTGGGAGTGGGGTTGGTCTGGGACCGGAATTGGGTTTTGGGCTTGGGTAAGCGTTTTGGTTCTCGAATGCCCGCCAATGGCAGTTCAGTGCTTTGACTTTGGCTAATAAAAGCATCGCATTGTTTGACAATTTGCCATTGCAGACTTTTGGGACTTGTGTTGTTGCCCACTAGAAGGCAACACTCGCTCTCCCACTCCTACTCGCACTGCCACTCCCACTCTCTCTCGCTCTCTTTTTCACTCTGCCATTCTCAGTGTAGTGCACTAGTAAATTACAAACATAAATCACTTGATAAGTGACGCTTACGCTGCCCCCAGGCTGCCGGGCTGCCAGCCTGACTGGCTGCTGCTGCTGCGGCTGCGGCTGCGGCTGCTGCTGCTGCTGCTGCTGCTGCTGCTGTTCGTGCCGCATGTGCAGCGGCTTGTAGGAGCAGAAACTTATCAGCTAAACAGCAATCAGGTCAGCAATAGCAACAGCCAAGTACTCATCCCAATGGCTATATGTGGGCGTATCACATGTTCATATACATGTGTGCGTGTGTGTGTTTGTGCAGCTGCACATCTTTTTGTTAAGTTCACTCGAACATAAATTTCTTTAGAATTGTCAATGGTAGCAGCTGCAGCGCCGAAAACCCCCCAGGTCTCCAGTGCGTGTCATACTCTCTCTCTCTCTCTCCCCTCTCTCTCTCTCTCTCTCTCTCTCTCTCTCTCGCTTCGATTCTTGCCTGAACACATTTATATATAGTATATACACATATATATATGTATATATATAAATACTCTGTGTGTGTGTGTGTGTGTGTGTGTGTGTGTGGTGCCTTTGCTACATACTTGCCTTTTTAGTATCCACCCACAGACGCGCTGTCATTTGTGCAGCACTTTTGTTGCACTTTGCACTTGGCATTTAATGGATGCAGCATTGTGCTGCAAAGAGAATGCAACTAAAAAGTAAATGTTGCAAGTAGGTGGCAACTGGCGACGACGACTGTGCGGTCGCAGCCACAAGGAACCAACCGAACATGCTACACGCTGCGTATGAGTGATTTTTATGCATCAACAATATTTGTCACACTCGAGATGACTTCAGCCGAGCCCTGCGTAAGTGCGTGGGCGTTGATTGTTTAATGACATCATTCAGTCTAAATGATTTTTTCACTGCTTGCACTCAATTTTGTATTTATTCTTATTTTTTCGGTGCAGCGTTTCTTTCGTTTCACACAACATTTCGCATCGATTTGGAGTGCAAATATTTAAATTTAGCTTTCGGTCAAGTTAACTTGTTACTCCCAGCTGATGTCCCGCTGTCAGTGTCTATGTCCTTCTCCCTCTCCCTCTCTCGCTCTCTGTTTGTCTGCCTCTTTATAGCCTGCGTCATGTCTGCGGCAGGAAATTGTGTGTGGCTCTCGGCTCTGTCTGTATTTTAAAGTAATTTTTATGCTGCTTTATGTG